TTTTGTTTTCTTACGAATACGTCCAGTGGGGCCTGCTCCACTACTCACCAAATGCACAAAAGACATAGCATATGGCGGTGTATAGTTCCATGTTTTAGCAGAAGATTCATTCTAGTAATATTATATACATTTGGTGAGTGGTGGAGGGAGGCCCAGAGAATCACGTGGAGACACGAACAGGGTCTAGCTGAACTGGTGACCCATAACTGCCGAGCTACAGCCTGTCTCTTATACACATCTAGATGTGTATAAGAGACAGGGTCGGAGGGCCGACGAAAGGGACTCGTTTCCGCCCCTTGTCCTTCAATGTAGCGAAGCCGCTGTTCCCGCTTGCTGGCCAGCCGATGATCCATCATCCGATCCTGGCCTGCACTAAAATACCTAATCTGCAAAGCATCTATTTGCTGGGGTTTTACGACGAAAAGGAGTTTTCAATGTACACCTCAGCGCTGTCTTCAGAGCTTCGTATTCCTGTCCGCTATGTGAGAGAGACGAAACCCTACGGGTCGGCCGGGGGGCTTCATCACTTCCGTGACGTTTTTTTGGAGGAAGATCCTCGTTTCATCTTTGTCCTTCACTGCGACGTTTGCTGTACCTTCCCTCTCGAAGCGATGCTGGAATCGCATAAGGTACATGGAGGGGTAGGTACGCTTCTGGCGAAGAAAGTCGCTCGGGACAAGGCCAACGAACTGGGGGTGCTGGTTGCCGACCCAGAGACAAGGGAGGTTATGCATTACGCCGAAAGACCCGAGACGTTCGTCAGCGACCTAATCAACTGCGGTGTGTATGTCTTCTCTTCCGCGCTCTTCGATTGCCTGAAGAGCAGTGCTTCCAGCCGAAGGGGTGGCAGCATAAGACGGGTGCCGAGTGTGGACTCTTTCTCTCCCTTGCGCCAAGGGCCGTCCGATTACTTGCAGATCGACAGAGATGTCATCATGCCGTTGGCGGCGAAGAAACAGCTTTTCGTGTACGAGACGCCCGACTTCTGGGAGCAGATCAAGACGCCGGCCATGTCTCTTCGCTGCTCGGAACTCTACCTCGAACAGTACCGAAGGACAAGACCTGAGATTCTCGCCTCGTCGTCGTCGTCGTCGCCTTTGACCACCTCTTCCTTGCTAAACGACAAAAAAGGACCGACGATTGTCGGTGACGTGTTCATCCACCCCTCCGCCAAGGTCCATCACTCAGCCAAGCTCGGGCCCAACGTGTCCGTGGCGGCCAACGCTCGCATTGGAGCCGGCGTTCGCCTCATTGATTGCATTATCCTCGACGAGGTGGAGATCAACGAGAACTCGATTGTGACTAACGCCATCGTGGGGTGGAGAGGAACGATCGGAAAATGGGCGCGAGTGCAGGGAGGGGGAAATCATGCCGCCAAACTCGGTATCACCATTCTCGGCGAAAACGTTACCGTTGAAGATGAAATTGTTGTCGTCAACTGCGTAGTTCTTCCTCACAAGTCTCTTAGCCAGAGCGTTCGCGAAGAGATCATTCTGTAACTGCAGGACTGGAGCCCCGTCGCGCTGTCTCTCTTTCTCTCTCTCTCTCTCGCGCGCGCGCGCTTCTTGAATATGTGTTTTGGTTTTTGGTTTTGGTATTTTGTGTCAGCTGCCTGCGGAGTCCGTGCTCGTCTATGTGGCGAGAGAGCGAGCAAGACGCGCCTCACGCGCACGAATACGCAGAGCGAAAGTGAGAGAGGGAGGGAATAGGAGGAGAGAGAGAGAGAGAGAGAGAGAGAGAGAGAGAGAGAGAGAGAGAGAGAGGTGAATGTGCGATGATGATGGTGCGCACATATACGCAGAGCGAAAGGTAGAGAGGCACACAGAGAGAGAGAGAGAGAGAGAGAGAGAGAGAGAGAGAGAGAGAGAGAGAGAGAGAGAGAGAG